TTTTTTTTTTTTTTTTTTTTTTTTTTTTTTTTTTTTTTTTTGCTTAGGACTAAAAATGTACTTAGTGCAGTGTGTAATATGCGGATTGGACGTCAGCTATCCAACCGATATATTGAGAAACTGCGGTATAAACTGTTGGATAGTTTTTATATGCGCATGGCAAATATCCCCATGATGCAAGACCAATTAGTTCAGTAATTCCATCCATACCCTCGATTACTATTGGGGCGCCTCCATCACCGTAACATGCGAAAACATGAGCACAAACATGCTTACTGGTAAGCGGTGCATTAGAAGGCAGGGCAGCTTTGCATTCTTTTTCAGACAAAATGTAAGACTCGCTACGTTGCAAGTCCTTCACATAAACAGTGTCTTCAGGATTTAATAAGCCCCAACTATATGTGACGGATTTCTTATTATCGAACGCCTCTCCCCGATAAGGTAACAATATTTGTTTAACCGTACCATTAAACTCGAAGGCAGGCATTATGTGAAGCAGGGCGATATTATCAGTGTTCTCGTTTCCGTTAAACTCTTTATGATTATAAGCGAAATCCACTGTCCTAATTTGAGCATCTTCCAGTTTGGTTCGATTGCTTAAACCAGCATAAACTGGAAGGCCTATTACATTACCGGCCATTTTTTCCAAATCATTGACGCAATGAGCAGCTGTCAAAATCCACTCCTTATGTATAATAGTACCGCTACAAACGTGCGCGTAGCTTATGTTTGACATACTTAGAGAAACGAGAAAGGGGGCATCTTTGCTTCCAGCGTTTTCACCGTCTATTATGAAGTGATTAAAGACCCGTTTTTTTTCAATCAAACTCTCTGTTATTGAGAACTCTCCTATAATTACCACGACGGTTATTATAAATAAATATGTTATTGTCATTTTGCCCACAAGTAATGCAATAATTACATAATGTATAGTATGCTTGTCTTTTATAGCCTTTGTAGCCTATATACTTACTGTATACTGTTCGTGTTTAATTTAATAGAAGAAAATGAAGAAAACGCGTTATATTTATTTATAGCGCATAACTTGCGCTAGAAGGGCATATTAAGTTTATGCGGATGCATGCAACGCTCAGAACAACGCGACACAAGTCCAAATTTCTTATTCATCATTTTTTTATTGGATTGAAACCTATTTTGCCCATCTATGAGAATTATTTTTATGCCCTAACAAATTATATCATAATTTTCTAGACGTTCTGGTGGAATTTGGTAATATGACATGCCTGTGCGGTGAGCCTAACTGAAAATGTATTGCATTCTAATTTTTGAATATTTTTCGACAAAGGTCGATGAAAAATCATGTTTGCCCAAAATTTGCGGAGCTAAAATTGGTTTCGGATTAATCGGAATATTTCCGAACCTCTCCCTTAGTAGTATGAGTAGCAAGCATTTGGGGTATTTTAGGAAACAACTAATAGGCCGTAGGCTACTTTGCCTGCCTTTGTCATAGACAGTAGCGGTAAGTTATTTTAATTTGCGTAAAAAAATTGGACATCGATTTTATATTAACCCCGTTCTATATATATATATATATATATATCTAACATTAGTTGCCATGTTTTCTTACAGCGAGGTACGTCAAGCTTCACGCCGTTAATTCAAATAATTAAGAATTGTTGTTGATTATCGAATTCATGAGACTTTGGCATGGTTTTAACCCACACAAATCTGGGTATAAAAATAATTACTGCGTATGCTCAGGTTATATATCATACGTAAGACACACGTTATAGCGTCTACGGTAAGCGCGTATATATATAATATTTTACTTCTTTTATTGCTTTATTAAAACTGATAATGAATGACTGACTACTGATTAGGAATCGATTTCTAGTAACTCACTACTTACGTATATATCCTAAATGTAAGCAATGTGTTAAGTGACTGTAGATGTACCCTTCCGTCTTCATATTTTGTAACTTTTAGAAGTACGACAGATGACGGAAGCTTCCCACGTCCCAAGGCGAGTGTTGCCCTTCTAATTTGGCACGGTATGCGTGAGTTTGTGGATGAATAAAGACCGTCTCTGGACGCAGATGCAAGCATTAAAACTATCTACGCAAAATGTTTACAGTTTTCTTATTTAAGTTCGCCCCGGGTATAAGTAACGCATTTTATATTGAATTTAGTTAGAAATGGTTAGAGGATAATCCGTACTTTCCGTATTGAAACAATCATACTTTGTAAACTGTTGAAGCATATTCCCCTATGCTATATATGGACTTATGGAACACTGATGCATATGTTATTGATTTTGTTCGCCACTAATTTCACTCATACTATTGTCACTATGCAATGCGGAAAGTGTTATCCTTGAAGCTATAAACAGCTTGAAACGGTTTTTGTTTGAAGCAAAAAAATAATTACAAAGTGTACGAAAGTTACGCAGCATAACTTGATAATGCAAGTTATATAATATAAAAAGAAAAAAAAAAACAAAACATAGTTTTCATAATAGATGTTAAATGAGCTGAAGGGGACTTTTCCCGCTTCAGCAAGTCTTTGCTTATGATAACATATTTAATTAAAAATATTTTATACGCGAATTTTAAATCGATTTTATTTCACTCTGCCAACGGAGTTACCGAACGCATTGCTTTCTTGCAATAGAAATAAATGTAAAATCATTTAAATTTAAGGCGCCTAACGGGGAAACTGCCATTGCACAGTGCAGCCTAAGCGTCTCTCTTAAGCCATTAAAAATCTATCTATCACATTTTGATACACGAACGCATACCGCCAAATAGCGTTGCTTTAAAAATTTATGGGATTATTTAAAGACAAATGAAAGTAGGGTGCAAGGGGGGTGAGGAAATGCTCTAATTTTTGTTACGATTTTTCTTCAAATCAATAACGAAAATCCTAACGAATGAATTTATGCAATTCTGTGATTCATTATTATAGATGCTTATCTAACCTAAGAAATATATATATATATATATAGAGATATATACTTATAGAGATAAGTGTTTCAACTTCTCGCTCATATGATTTATTGTTCTAATCCCCACAAAATGTATAAGAAAAGTCAAATAACTTTTATTTATTAATTTGGACAATTTTATAGATTGCTATATAACGGTAATAAATCGCATAATTTAACACGAAAAGATTAGATGTTTTTTTCGATGTATATAAACTGATCTATGTTAGTAAAGACACATCAGTACAATTTCGATCATCATGAAGTTCTTTGCAGTGTTCGCTTTATGTGTGGCTAGTGTGAGTGCGGTAAATTTGGCTGCTATCGCCAAACCAGGTTTCCCGGAAGGACGCATTATTAACGGACATGAGGCCGATAAAGGTGAAGCTCCTTTTATTGTGTCTTTAAAGACCAATAGTCATTTCTGCGGTGGTTCTATTATTGCTGAGAACTGGGTTTTGACTGCCGGTCACTGCTTGATCTTCAATGAATTCGAAATTGTAGCTGGATTACATTCGCGTAACGATGAGTCTGACGTTCAAATTCGCAAGGTTACCGGTAAACATCAACAAATTGTCCATGAAAAATATACCGGTGACGTTGGTCCCTACGATATTGGTCTCATTTATGTCGATAAACCATTCAAATTGAATGCCTTAACTCGTCACGGAACAGCTGCAGTCGCCAAAGTGAATTTGCCAACCGGCAAATATGAGTCTACTGGCAAAGGCAAATTGTACGGCTGGGGAGCAGATAACTCCGGATTCTTACCTAACATTTTGAACACTTTGGATGTAGACATTATTGGTTACGAAGAATGCAAGAAGGCTCTGCCCAGCAATGCTCCTTTAGATCCTGTCAATATCTGTTCCTACACAGCTGACACCACTGATGGCGCCTGTAATGGTGATTCTGGTGGTCCAATGGTGCGTGTCACTCCTGACGGTACTGAATTAGTTGGCGTTGTATCTTGGGGTTACAAACCTTGTGCCAGTTCCACAATGCCATCTGTTTATACTTGGACTTCGGCTTTCGACAAATGGATTGAAGAGAGCATCAAGAACTATGCTTAATATTTGTTAATTACTACCGTTATTGAATGTAAAAATAAAAATATGCAACGGGCATAGCAGCCTGTGAACATAGTCAGAAGTTGTTTCTTAAACTCAATTAAAAAGAAGAACAAATATATTTGCTCGGAGTTCATTCTGAGCAACTTCCTCATAAGCGTAATTTTCATATAATATATAAGGTGTAAATCGCAACAACGATAAATTTCCGTTCACTTTATGTTCATCTTGTGACTGTCATCGTCGATCCACGTTATGAGCGTATTAATCCTTGTATAATACTTGAAATGAAATTCAGAGGGATCTATGCTCGGCTTAAACTGAATCAGGAAACATATCATTTTTACGTCCTCCACCAAGATTGAGAGCATATTCATTTGCTAGAATATTGGAAAGAAAGCTCCAGAAATCTCGTGAGTGCATATATTTTCCGCCTTTCTACAGACTGTGGTAAACATTCTTCAAGGCTGGCAATGCAAGGGAGTACAATGTAAATTAAAAACCCCTTTACTTTTCTCACTACTCATAATTACAATGGATAACAATTTCCCCCAACATTTTACGGATGAACATACATTAGTTGTACGCAACCACGTCCACATTTTAGTATCGAAATTTGGCCTTTTTACACCCACCACTGTAGCACGGGGATATACTCATTTTGTTTTCTTCCATAATGTATATAAAATCCAAAAACAAGCTTCAGTATTTACATATATTGTTGATCAGCGTAAAATTCTGAGTTGATTTACGCATGTCTGTCCGTCTGTCCGTCTTGTGTGCGTTGTTGCCACTGTCCTGCTTGCAAAAATGAAATTATCGACTTTTAGTAGAAACATTGGAAGTTTCTGCAAGCAGGTTGTTTGTTATTGAAAATGACTCAAATTGGTCAGAATAGAAGCCCACAGTGGATCATAAACTGAACGGAACACCGTTTTTTCTAGCAAAAAATTGTGCGTTTTTGCTCTTTACTCGGAAATTATTGAAGTTAGAAGACTGAAATTTTCCACATTCACTTTACGAAGCACCCTGCCCTTTACGAATAAAAATGGAAAACAATCGCCCATGCCCACACAAAGTTGCAAGTGATTAAATTTACCTTTTTTTCACTTTTTTATGCTTATTTATCATAAGGCAAACAAGATCAATTCCTTCTTGCAACTTACAAGGGAATAATAAATATAAGAGAGACGAGACGAAAATATATCAGAATGTTATTTTAAACTTGTTGGAAATGTTGATTTCATCGTCTGTATTTCCATTCGATTAATTTATATACACGCTACTTATTCTCATCTATATGTCACTATATGGAACATCAACTTTCTGTTTCGTTTTTACCTAGAAGTTGTATACTCAGGAAGAGCCAACAATACTTTCAAAATATCATAACATATAAAAGATCTTCCTAAATAATCCCGATCAACATCATAATAATTGAAAAAGCCTAACAATATATTCCTTGTTTAGTTCATATGGTGTAGACCCAAATTTATATCAAAACATTAAATACTATAATGGAATATATATTCAACAACACCAAGAAAAGTAAAAATTTATTCACATTTAACAACCGGCTCACTCCTTATAATGGACCCTAGCTCAACGTTTTACTTTATTTTTCTTATATTAATTTATAGTATGGTCCTAATCACTATCGAATTATTCTGAAGCTTTTATTTGACCTAAAACACTTTTTTCATTATCTAGGTTTTCTTTCGAAAAACAGCAAGAGGTCAGAGGGGTCTTTTGCCCAAACATGCTATGTGACCTGTAGAGGTTATTTATATATTTTATTCATCACTATAAAGATGAGCTTCTTTAACGCTTCTAAGTACATGCTTTTGCCGAACTGAATTTCCAACTGAAAGCCAATCGATTTAGTATATATATTTAAAGACAATTTATGCGTATTGTGATGAGTTTTAAAAGTCTATTAAATATATTTTTACTTACATCGTCCCACTTGATAAATTTCTCTCCATCTCGCATGGCCTGGGAAACCACTGGCCATGTGGACACGTAAGTACCCGCATTAAGCATTTTTATCAAAAATCTGTCTTTTCACCAAGGATTTGCGATGTTTAAGTCCAGAAATTTACACGCATTACGTATTCGTGTAAAAAGTGACAGCTTTAAAATAAATGGAAGGAAGATAAAAGTTAAATGTTGTCATAATACTAATCGTATATAAACAAAATAAAAATGAACACAACTTTATTGCACTTTCTCTAAAAAGTATTTTTAATCTATTAATCCTATCAATGGTAGAAGCAGGAGTAATTATGGCTTAGGAGAGATTATGGCTTAAGTTCTAATTGGAGTTAAAAGATCGACAAGCACAAATATGAAATTGTTGAGGCTTAAATGAGGACGGAAATAAATGGCTTAGTAAGCAGCTGGAATTGATGTATGTGGTTAAAGGAGTAAAGTTTAGTTTCTTCTTTGCAGCGTTACCGATTCCAACCATAGACTGACACTAGCGAAGAAATTCAGAATTTTAAGTTAATAATAGATGCATATATATCTAAACAATGCAATATTTTCACAATTCAATTTCTTTTTCCATGCAAAATTGAAATCCGATTAATGCAATATGATCGAGCGTATTGAAGCTCAATTTCGCTCTACAATCATCATTTACTTCATCGAATATCTCAAAATACTGATGATAGATTCTTAATTCAATGCTTGCTTTGGATTAGTCCGATTAGATTCGTTATGTCAGATATATGTACGCACGAGCTCACACATGTTTGCAATTGATTTAGAGATATTTTATAAATAAAAACGAATTGTGATTCCTACTAACCAGTTGCATGTAACCGAAAATATTAAACCATATATAAAAATATATACATATATACACAAATTTATATATACATGCATACATGCACACCCATGCACACATAATATATGTGTATGTATGTATAAATATTAATCGCGTAAAATCAAAGATTCGAACATAAATTTATTCCAACTTTCAGCCCAAATCGAAGCTAACAACTGCTCTTCTGCATATCGTTAAAACTTTAATTTAATGTATTGCACATTATTACCGATTTAATTAACGGATTTACTTTTTAAACATATTTTTGCAGGTACTTACACATTTTGATTTTGTGACGTGCTTTAACTAATATTTCTCACTTTTGCTCATGTTTTACTGTTTGGTATTTTTCGCCACAAAAAACTTTTTTCTGTATTTCATCTTATTTTCTGTATATCAATAACACTAATACAACAGTCAAACAGTCTCCTCAGAGTATTCCATTTTCATTTCACTTAGAAAAAAATGTAAAATTTGTTACTACTCTTAATAGAAAAAATCAAAAACAAATATAGACCGAAAATAATTTAAGCACCCATGTTTGATTTTTTCACTAGCAATGGCAAATTGAAATATTGAAGAAAAGTGTTATAAAAATGTATAAATCAGCTGTCGAACTAGTATAAAATTCCTTCAAGTGGAATTTCGTTTTGTAAAATAAGAGAAAAGGATGGAACTCTTTGAATGTGAAAATATAAACAAAGAGTTTGTGACCTAAGCCCAAATTGTGAAATCAAAAGAAACCATATTTGACCGATTAACTCTGTTTTGTTTGTAAACATATTACCTAAACTTAGTAAGAAAAATCAGATTTAATACACCACAATGTTAGCGTGTACAAACAGAGATGTTAAGATCTGTTAAAAGCGATGCGAACATGTTATATAACATTTATATAACTTAATTAGTTACTAGAAATGTAATAATAGTTTTTACAACTAATACTAAAGAAAACCGAACTGTTATTGTAAATATCACACTGCATACTTTGTATGCATACTTTGTATTGGGCCTCACAACTGGATCAACTCCTTTTGAAGAAATTATGGGAGATAATGAGATAATATCAATATTGTAATAGTAACCAAACATTTTTAATAAACTTAAAAAGTTATTTATATAAATATGCTTTATTTTACTTGTTGCTTTTTCATTTTAACAGAATTTCTTACACGGTTTCGTCATTTTAACAAAATTCCTTACGATTTAACAGAATTTCTTGCACGGCTTCGTCATTTTAACAGAATTTCGAACACGGCGTTGCCAATTTCGTATAACGATGATAATGACTTTTTATTGATTATATTTGCTTATTTATTAAAAGCATCTCTGTGCTAACGGCCAGAAATATTTGAAAATCGCATGTGAAAGTTTATTATATTGCAAAAATTTTTACAAGTGTTAAAATATAGAAATAAAATATAAAAATTATAATCATTTGTTATCTATAACTATTTAATAAAGTGTAAAGAATTTGTAGTGTATTTAAAAAAAAAGAGAATATATTGCATTAACTGGTAGGTGGTTAGTTATTACTTAGTATTTAATTTTTAATAAAAGAGACCCATCTGAAATGCATTTCGCTTATTTTTTTAAAAGTTCATTAGAAGTATTTGCTATATTACTATTAAATGGTTTAAAAGACCATTACTTGCTTTCAGGCATTTAATGAAGAATTCTAATTATTTTACATTTATTATTTATTTAAATATTTCTATATTTATTTATAAACTGATTTTAATAAATTTTTCATCATTTGTTTTTTTTTCTTTTCAGGTTATTTATTATTATTGTATTATTATATTATTATTATTATTATATTGATGTTAATAAATAAGAAAAATGGTCAATAAGAAATCTTTATCATCTGTTAAATCTATTATATGTGAAAATGCGGCAAAGCCGTACAAGAAACTCTGTTAAGTCGTCAGAAACTCTGTTAAAATGGTACATACTTTCCTTTGCTCTTGTCACTGTTTGTACATGTGAACATACAACTGCGCACTGTTAACGGAGAACCTGACATTGTCAACAGAGAACCGTGCATTCTTAACGAGAACCAAGCATTGCCATATGTTGAAGGCAACTCTGTTCTCTCTATTCTATGAAAACTAATAATAAATTCGCACAGTGGTGTATTAGTTGATATATAATACAGTTTTATGTCTTGTATGATGTGTTTACATTATTTCATCGTTAAGAGGTGCTTCAATTAAACTGAATGTAAATAAGTTGTCTAATATTTCATGTTTGAATTCCCAACATTTTTTGATAAGAAAGAGAACGCAATAGTGTAAGAGGATTGAAAGCATTTCGATCCTCTTCCCTAAAATGGAAAAATCTTAAAAGATAATTTTTTTTTTTAAATATGTTTCGCAATTAACTCAATTAGAATTTGTTAATTATTTTCTTTTTTTAATTTTGTATTTTGGCTCATCTGCTTGTAAGTAAATAATTTTGTTTTCAATTTACAGGTGTTGTGTCTGATAAATGCAACTCTAAACAATAACTTAGAAGAACTAACCCTAGTGCTAATGCCAAATATGAAAACCACCTCGATTCACCGTCATATGAGAGTAATTAAATGAGCGGGCCACCTCGATTCACAGTCGCTCTTTTGATTTCACATAATTTGACATACATAAGAGAGCGTATTTAACAGCTGTTAAGCTACGTGATGCACTAAACATAAACTTGAAGAATGATAAAATGATGTCCAACGATAAGAGAACTGTATACATAGGATCTTTGGCGGACGAAGTTACAGAAAAACTGCTAAATAATGCTTTCATACCATTTGGCGATATAGCTGATATACAAATTCCGGTTGATTATGAATCGCAGAAGCACCGCGGTTTTGCATTTATAGAATATGAATCTGCAGAGGACGCTGCATCTGCTATAGATAATATGGTAAGTATAATAATTTAGATTAAATAATAAAAATAATAACAATTATATTGTTAAGAATGATTCTGAGCTGTGTGGACGCACGATAAGAGTTAATTTGGCAAAACCTGTCCGAGTTAAAGAAGGCAGTTTTAAACCTGTATGGGCCGACGATGAATGGCTACAAAAACATGCCGGCGCTACTTTAACAAATACGGAAAGTAATACAAACGAGGAAACCGGAGTTGTTGTCCGTCCCAATGATGCTACACCTGCGATTATCGAGAAAGCGGAAAAACGTAATCCACAAGTTTTCTTTGATATACGCATTGCCGGGAACGATGTAGGACGTATTGTTATGATTTTGAGATCAGACGTTGTTCCGAAAACGGCTGAAAATTTTCGTGCGTTATGCACCCACGAACATGGTTTCGGCTACAAAGGCAGTACCTTTCATCGTATTATACCTGAATTTGTAAGTTTTAAACATTTAGCAATAATATCAATACCTAAACTAATAGCAATATACCTAGATGTGTCAAGGAGGTGATTTTACTAATCATAACGGTACCGGTGGTAAATCCATTTATGGTAAGAAATTTGCCGATGAAAATTTCACCTTAAAACATAATGGCTTTGGGACTTTATCAATGGCCAATTCTGGTGCGAATACGAACGGTTCTCAATTCTTCATATGTACCACAAAGTAAGTTGCAAACGAATGAGCATCTTCCTATATAGAAATCATATTTTAAAAAAATTTGAAATGTTTTGGGCGATTGTAGTTATAACTGTCTGTTTAGAAATATTTCTTATGTACTTTAGTTTGTATTCATCTTTTCGCTTAAGACTCATTAACTAACCATATGAAGCTGCACGGTGATGCGGTGCTCTTCCACCATTTATTGAAAGCAACAATGCTCTCTCTTTATTCACAACACATGGTAACAGAAGAAAAAGCTTACTATGATTGAAAGATAGCAAGCTGAAAGTACAGGAAACGTCATTGCATGCAATTTGTAAAACAACAAACGTTGTGTGAATGTAGAAAGTGATCCATACTACTCTTGCCATGATGTAAGATTAGGACAAAGTGAAACTTGCCTCCGGCGCTAAATTTTCCATATCTAATAAACATGTTACAGGATAAAGACGGCACCACCTTTAAGCTGCTACCACGACATACAGGTGAATACATAAGCGAAAACGTAAGAGTTTTGTTTTTGTTATTCTCGCCGATAAAGAAATAAATACAAGTTATAAGCTTTGTAAATACTATGGTGACTGCAATTGCAGCAACGACTCTGTTTATTTTGAACACTTTTTTCATTTAAACATGAGCTTAATATTTCGAGACCATCGAGAACTGAACAGACATAGAATTAATGAATGCATATATATTGTAAAGATTTAGAAAATCTGGCGCCAGATATTAAAAGGATAAAAAAAAGGAAATTATGATCACAATGTACGCTTGGTTTAATTTCAGAACTGATTGGCTGGATAACAAACATGTTGTATTTGGTCACGTTATTGGTGGTGCAGATGTTGTGCGGAAAATTGAACGATGCGGCTCTAAATCGGGTGTGTCAACACAAAAAGTTGTTATTTACTCCTGTGGAGAATTAAAATAAGTTGCAAGCGCATACATGCATTCACGCAAGCGTCGTGATTTATTTAGAATTTTTTATCACAAAGAAAAAATCAAATATAGTTTACAAAAATTATCAATTAAACTCATTGTTCGTTACGCATAATGAGGTTGAGAAACCGACAGACGTTAAAGATGACCATTCACACGTACGTTAACGAAAAATACAGTTCAATTGGGTGAAGATGCCTATATAAAAATTTTTGTAAATTTAACATAAATAAATAAATTTATCGAAATTTATTATTATAACGGAAATGAAAATACGAAGTAAATAAAATTTTTAATGGTATTTTCTATATTTGCAAAAATATATTTAGTAAACTTTAAAAGAAAGGTGCTTTTACCTGGATCCATCTGCTATGTTCGCATGGATAAATGAATCGTAAGGTGAAAGGTGGAATCATAAGATTAGATTTGTTTCTAATATTTTCGATTAGATTCATCCAAACCAACTGGTTGTCATATCAACTCAAGCTCGAAAAAGATTAATAGATTTCTGCATCAGGGTCTTTATAGAATTTCGTTCCAAAAGCAACCACAGAATTAATTGAGGAAATATATATAATTTAGCATTCAAGAAGTCTAAACAAATTATAGTTATTATTAATGTAAATACTACGATTGAACCTCAAAAGTAAGATATGCTTTAAATAATATTTAAAGCATAAAGAAAAAAAAGGCTTGAAATATAAAAATCTAGAAGAGTACGGTCCACTTTTAATATTGATATTAAATTGTTGAAAAATGCAAATGAAAATTGTTATTGTATTTGAGAAATGGATCGGTATGTCATCACTAATCACATATATTTCCGTTAATTGGTATTCGGAAAAGATGATTTTGTGGAGGAAATCTTCAAGCGTGGCGAAGCAATAGCAAAGTTCTCTGTTAAAAAGGCAAAGCAGTAGCAAAGCGCTCTTTTAAAAAGGCAAAGCCATAGCTAAATTCTCTGCTAATTGCATTGTATAATTTAAAGCAATGTTAAAAGTTAAAAAAAAACTTAAAAAACTCTGTTCAAATGACAGATCAATGCAAAAACATCTGTTGAAATTCTATACAAACAAACAATTTGGCAATTTGACAACAAACAGTAGCAACAGTAGTAGCGAATAAAGCATATAAATAAATAAATAAAGCATATTGTGGCTTTTCTTTCCTTTTTTAACTCTATTGAAAATGTTTGGTTATTATAAAAACATAAAAAGAAAAATACAATATTAAAAATTTCAACAGTTACTGCAGCAAATTATTGCGTGTTGTCGTTACGGAGTAGATGTTTATGATGAATCGATGCCTTCATGTAACAAATAGAACCACTCTGCTGTAGCAGAATTATATATCCAGCTGCTACGATTTTTTTCCACCACCATCGTTACATTTAACAGACATCGTCATGACGATATCTGTTACTTCGTCCCATTTAACAGATGAGAGAGGCTTTTTACTCACCATTTCTCTTATTTATTTATTTATTTTTTTTTTACTTATTAAAAGCAAGTCTGTGCTCTGCCCATTCACCACACACAGTACTTTTTTTATAAATGGTATAAAGGAAAAAATCAACTAACGGCTTTCTGTGAAATTTCACAATTACAAGAGAAAGGTTGTGTGAATTTTGTTTCCATGAATAACTATCTCTTCCTCTTCACAAAATTTAATAAATCCCCAGGTTGATGCTAACAAAGTCCGTAGAAGGAAAAATTTTAGTCAGATTGTGAGCAAAAATTGTTTTTGTAAAAACCACCAATCTCAGGCTCAACAGTGGTAAAACCCTATTAAATATCATTAAGTTTACTTCCTTCAGTTAATTTAACAAATGTGCAGGGACATTTGTACACGTTGCCGGCAGTCCTATCATTGGCAGTTTGTTGGATTTGATTTTCTCAAATTGCCCTCATTTAACCCAATGGAAAATTGTGAAAGATGTATACCTAAGCAACAGCTTATGTATATTTGCAATGGTTTAGGGGTTCACCTGCAACCTGGATCTGTTCTTGTTGTGGGTGTGCTTCTGTGCTAGCTGTTTAGGGGTTCACCTGCAACCTGGATCTGTTCTTATAGTGGGTGTGCCTCTGTGCTATCTGTGCACATGCTTTTTTTCTTTCTTTTTATTTATTTATACATGAAGTATTATTTTTAAATTTTTAATTTATTTTTAAACTTGCTTATTATTATTGTTCTTTTTTCTTCCTGTTTGTATACTAGCTTTAAAACAATTAGTATAAGATTTTCTATTAACATGTACTGAATTCGACTACAATTTTCTGTAGTTGAATTTCATGTAAAAATGAGTAAATAAATAAATAAATAAACAGTTGTCATTTTCCAATTATTTTTGGAATACAAGACAACCTAATACAAAGAATTAACGGCTTCGTCTCTGGTAAGTTGTTATTTGATCGACTAGCTAACGTGAACTTAACTTCCAATATCGCCGTACATTTCAGGAAGAAATTAAAAATGCAAAAACTTTCAGACATCCTTGATGAAACAACAAAATAAAGGGATAGAAGAATAACAGAATTACAGAATTTATAGAAGAGCGAAACAAGAAAACATTTGAATATAGTAATAATCGCAAATAATAATATCAAAAATACAAAACAGTAAAGCAGAGAAAAATCAAAAATTGAAAAATTTTGCGTGTTCGCTTACATGAAATTGCTGGATCTAAGATCGATCTTGTAAGCAATACGGTTTTTGGTTCCGAGATATTAATACAGAAGCCTACTTCTCAAATCGATAATGTAGCGCCATATTTTCGACTGAATGTCTTACGATCCTGGAACCCATTCTCTAGCGAGTACTCAGCCTCAAATGAAAGTTCCTATAGTGTTAGAAAGTAAATCGATCTCCACAAAGAGTAGTAAAAGTTAAATTTTTGTTCAAAATATGTTATAATAACGAGTTTTGATTCATATATCTGGTATTTTGTTGCAGGAAAACGTACTTTATTTGAGTGGTTAGGGCTTCTTTAGTTTCTATCTGAGAGGTACGTTGCCTTTTCTATTTGATGAACTTATGATGGTTTTGCAAGGGAAAAAAATCATCTGCTGCAGGTTGTGAGGGACTGAAGTATGACATGATCATAGTTCTCTCTCAGCCAAGTCCGTATGCTTTGTTGAATACCATAAGTAAATGTTGTATTAATAACATAATTCGCTATAACTGAGTTACTAAGGAAAAATTGTCATCATAAAAAATTAAAAAAGTAGAATTTTTGCATTCAAATCCTTATTTTTCATTAGAATCCCTATATGGATTGGGATTCAAAAAAATAAAGAGGTTAATTTTAATGGCAAAATATATTTAGTTTCTGTAGAACAGGCAAGGGATTCAAAAAATTGCTCTATCCCCACCCAAATTTTTATATCAATTTAGAAATGCTGAATTACTATAACCAAACGATTTTTTTTTTTTTTTTTGCGACATTTTAAAAATTACAATATTTTTTTCTTTATAAAGTAGTGCGATCCGAATCATTTTCAATAACCGTCGTTTTTGCGTCAAAAAACACGTCAGTGTATTAAATTTGCGTCCTTTAGATTGGCTACGAAAACAAAGACGAATAGATAAGTGGCGGGGATTTAGCTCAAGTGATTCTGGATGTTACAATGGTCCGCACAAACTTATTGACAGAATATAGGGCACCATAAATGATATAAAGTATAAATATGTTGACTAACGTTAGATCGTTTTTTTTTTTCAGAATAAATTCCATTTCGGATACTTTGTGTGAAATTACTTTTCATTGACTCGCGTTTACATTGACTATATTGCGACTATATAAACAATCAATTTTCTCTATATTTTAAGAAGCCCCTTAGCAAATATTACTTATCAGTTGATAATGACCGACAGAGATTTTTTATCAATACTTTTTAAGTGAACTTACTTACCTTCAATGAGAAGTAAAAAATTATCAAACAGATTACAAATACAGAGATTGGCAGTTATTCAGTTGTCATCGTATTGATTTTCTTTTTATTCTTTTCACCTCGTTTTTTCCATCTTCGTTTTTATTTAATTTAATAAAAAATGTGTATATTATTTTTTCGCAGTTTGTTTTCTCTTTTTTTTTTCTTTTTTCTTTTCTTTTCTTTTTTTGTTTTTAAGTGTATAAATAATCCTTTTTTTTTTTTTTTTTTTTGCCTATATAATGATTTTAAAAGTTTAGGGGAATTTTAAAATAATTTTGGGGAAAAAATGTTTTTAAATTAACTAAAAAAAAGAAAAACAAAATTGTACAACTACTAGTACGAAAAACCGAGCAAATTTCCCGCTTGTTATAAAACCTTAAATACAGTGCTTAACTAAACGAGAGGAGAGTTAAGCTACTAAATTAATTGTGTATTACAATATTTTTCGGTTTTTTGTTTCTTTTCTTTTTTTTTTTTTATTTGTTTATACCTACCACCAATCATTCTTTTAATTAAAAAAATCTTCCTATCCGTAGGTCGATCGTATGAAAGCATGTTTACAGTTAAAATAATTAGCGAAAACAAAGGAAAGTTGAGATCGGTTACAATTGTTTTAAGTATGAATAAAGCCAATAGTTGTTTAAAATCACTTTTACTTTAATTACGACAAAAAGTAAGCTGAGATTCTTACGCACATAAATATTAAGTTGAGTAAATTATAGATAAATTAATTAGGCAACGCCCGTAATCGCACCTTTAATTATGCTTACGAAAACGATTTACTTTCTTATCTTATATCACTTATGCCTTAGATAGTGTTCACTTAATAACAGATAAAAAATCGTGAATTTAAATGATATTGAAGCAATATCCTTTATTCACTGTTTTTGGTTGAAGGGAAGTTTCTTTTACCAAGGTAAGATCAAGAGTTCTCCGACTGCAATGAAAATATGGAAATGGAATACAAGCGCTCTCACACTATTTGAGAGAATTCCACTTTATTGCTTATGCAAGTGAAGCCTTCAACTAAAGAATTACTTATGCACATGCGTGGACAACCAATAAATATCTTGAGATTACTGATGGAATTGAGCAAAGCATAATAAAATTCAAGTCACTAGGTTATGCCGATAATTTACTGAAAAGCGGAAGCGGTATTTTTTTCTAAGTAAACGCTGTCTTTAACTATGTAACGCTCTCATGGAAATAAGAGATGAAGAAAAAAATGAAGAAACAGCGATTGTTATCACGCCCGAACGCCATGTTTTCGCTTATATGTTTTAGGGCAAGAATGCCTCTAATTAATTGATTGAGATTGTGCTTAGAAACAAATGAAGTGAAATTTACAAACCGACAGACACCGTTCGGTTTAACAAAAAAAAAAAAGAAAATTAAAATTTTACATAAATTCAGTCTTAAAAAATAACAGACAAAAGTAATGCTAGCAGTGATGGTGGTTGGTATGCTATATTCACCGTACGGCGAAAATAATTTGTTTATTTCAATTTCCTATTTTGGTTTTTTGTTTCTTAATTTTTAAATGATTTTTTTTTGTTTCTTTTTTTACTAAACTATGATGAGATAAAAATTTCCAAGTATTTTCAAGTTTGAAAGTTTGTTCTGCAATTGATTTTACTTTTCGTTTTTTTTTTTTTCAATTTAATGAGAGTAACAGTACAACAAGCATAAGTTTCGTATTTATCAATACATATATAGGGTTTATGATAAAATACTAAAATTTATACAAACGAAATTAAAAATTATAAAAAAAAAATTTTAAAAAATTAAGGGGAGAGAAGGAAAACAAAAAAAGAAATAAAAACGTTATTTGTCTGATATATTGAGTGGTGGTCCGTGAAGCGTCTGTATATAGGTGTAAGCCCAGGCTTTGCTTTTAATGGTTTTAAAGTGACTATAGGCTCACATCAGTAATGTGTATGTATGTATATATATATATATATATGTATATATATATATATATATATATATATATATATATATATATATGTGTGTGTGTGTGTGTTTATCTGTATATGTATTTGTGTGCAACTTAAGTAAAAAATACATGTTTTTTTTTCTCTTTTTAAAGTTAATGTTATTGTGGTTGTGTTGACTATGTTTCTGAAAAGAAGTATTTATTTTTTCAGCATTTTATTATAAAAACACAATATTTTATCTACTCCTCAGCGTTGATTTTTACCTTTGTTTGTTTAAGTTTCTTTAATGTTAACAAAAAAATATATATATAAGATTATTGTTTAGCTTTCAATTATTTTTTAAATTTTTTAATAATAATTAATATAATGTATTTGTTTAAATATATACGATCTCTATACGGCTTTATTTTATTTTTATTTACTTTTTTCGTTTCATAATCCAGTTTAGTTTTTAGTTTGAAAAAAAAGTTTTCATTTTATTATATTAAATGTATGCTTTTTTGTGTCTTCGGTTGTTGGTTCTGAGGATTACCGAGTAATTTGTTGTTCTTGTTGATTTTGTGTTGGTACTGCAAGAATACCTAGTATGAAATTCCCTTTTTTCTTTCTTTTTTTTTATTTATTTATTTATTTTTTAATGATTTTACTAATAACGTCCGTAGCAGTAGTAGCGGCTTTAAAACCATTTTCTATTATTGTTGTTGTTGTTGATTTGGTTTTCTTTGTTATTTTATTAGTTGGTTTTGTTTTTATAATAAAAGAAAAATATTTCGTTTTGCGTTTAGGTCTTTATAATTTAAAAAAAGGCGGGGCTTGCAGCTCTCAAATGAATTAAGAACAGAACAGTATTAAGCTTTGCTCAATTTATTCAATCACCTTCAACACCTTACCAATAGCAATAGTTTTGTCTGCAGGACAGCGAGAATTAATTAATTAAAATAATTAGATAAAAAGATCTTGACAAAATATTGTTTACTTACTTTCATCTCTCAGAGTAAATCTTCCCATTTGTGGGAATAGTTTAAATTGCTCCAAGCATATCATACCCGAACATTCAATTCTCATTATTGCTACCTGATCTTGTTTAACAAATCGTGGACGTGATTTTGATTTTTCTCCCGTCTTCTTGTCTACCAGACAAATAAGAGCCTAAATAAATGAAACGAAAATAATCCAATGATTCTGAGTTGGCAAAAAAAAAAAAAAAAAAACAGTTTTCAAAATTTAAAATTTTTTTTTTTTTTTCAAAATTTTCTTCGCTAGTGTCATAATTTCTTTTCTTTCACCCATAGACACCGACAACTGCAGTCAAAAACTTTTCCGATCTGCAATCGTTAATAAATCGATACGAATTGCTAAAAAAATTTTATTCTGTTCCTCGATCATGGCGACAGAATTGTATTTAACATTGCATGATATTTTTATAGTCATTGTAGAAACTGGGTCAGGCGGGTTTCCATGCAAATGTAATAATGTTGTTTCGTCCACGTAATCGTCTATTTGTCGAAAAACATTATTACGACGTCAACGTTTTAACTAAATGAACAACAAGAATGTATGCAATTAGTTCTTGCATAAGCTTGCAAGAAGCGAAAGCACAGTTGTAACCAATGTTGGAAGTTAATGTAAAAATTTGAACAAATATATTGCAATTCGGAATAAGTCCGTAACAGAATGTCTCGCTATTGAAAACATATTTTGCAATATGATAAATTGATTTGAAATGAAGATAGGAAATATTTCGCCCATGGAGAATATAACTTTCTTGCTTTTTTCACACTCTCCTTGGATTAGGCTTAAAAATTGAGTGAATCAGTTATGCAACGCGTTTTCAGCAGAAACACATACAACTATATTGTATAATACAAAATATATCAAAAAGCCATATATATAGTAGCAAAAAACAACATATGCACGTCCGATTATGATTATCACTTAGTAGTAGTAGTGGTATGCAAATACGACGATCATATGCAACTATCATATAATGTCATAAAATGATTGATATTACATTATACGGTGTTATGCGATATTAAAAAATTTTCTTAATAAGGTTTTGCAAGACGACAGTCACGTGGTACAACATGAGAGTATTTGATTTTTCATCCGCGCAAATGATGATAAAAACAAATTCCGTCTAAGACCTCCGTATTCTTTCATTATTCGCTCATCATTTAGGGTATTAATCATTTCTTGAATTTGTCTCTATCGAGTAAACTTCACCCGTGATCTAACGCCGACGAAATCTACGCATAACTTCTTACATTTGCAGTACTTTTACATTTTTTTGGGAAAACACAGTTAGTTTCGAAACATAATCGAATTATGCTATCTAACGACGTCAAGACGCGAGTGTAATTTCGTACATGTAGCTCAAAGAATAAACAGCAAATAACTCACTTTAACGGTAACTTCTTCAGCAGCGCAGTGTATGTGCATGACAGCTGAGTAGCCCGCACAAATAATGGATTTATGTTCGAGTATAACCACTTGAGCATCAAAAATTTTACCAGTTTTAATAGGATTAGAGGCATCACATAAAACAAACCCAGGTGATACATCCTCTTCTTCGATGCCCTACATAAAAGGAAATTAACATTTTGAAAAACATTGCATTTTTCTTTCACTGACCTTCAGCTTGATTTTGACATTTTCGCCGGGACCCACAGATGTTACTTCATCGTCATCGGACCATAATTGATCAACAGCTACTTGTGTCTGAAATTCATCACGTATTTTATAGGTTCAATTTTAAAGTTATTTTGCTTAACTCACCCTATTGGGCATAACTAATAAATTTTGTCCTTTTCGCGCGCAACCCGATTCCACTTTCCCCATTACCACCGTACCCATATCCTTATATTTGTCCACTATAGGCATGATGAACGGGCCATCTAATTTGCGATTTAACGAAGGCAACTCATCAATGAATGGTATGAAGGCCGGCCCTCTATACCAAGGACAAATCGATTCGGGTATAGGATCACGTAGACCGGCACCGCTTAGGCCCGAGCATGGCATAAATGTTAAATCTTTCGTGGGATTAAAACCGAGTTTTTTGAGGTATGGTAGAATTTTGTCTTTACATTCGTTGTAGCGTGCTTCATCCCAATTCACTGTGGGATCATCCATTTTGTTCACCAATACCACTAAATGCTTAACACCTGCTGTTTTAGCTAACATTGCATGTTCTCGGGTTTGCCCACCACGATCAAACCCTGTTTCGAATTCACCTTTTCTCGCTGATATTACCAGAACGGCTAAATCGGCTTGAGCAGCACCACCAATCATATTCGGCACAAAACTCTTGTGTCCAGGAGCATCCAAGATAGTAAAATGTTTACGTTCCGTTTCGAAAAAGGCACGGCCCACTTCGACAGTTTTACCTTTGTCACGTTCTTCCTGATTTGTATCTAAAGCCCAAGAAAGATACCAACTTTCACGAGATTTTTCGCGAGCCTCACGTTCATATTTTTCCAAAGTACGTTTGTCAACCATGCCGGTCAACGACATTATTTGTCCGCCGATAGTCGATTTTCCTGCATCTATTTGATAAGAAAAAGAAAAAAAAAAAACAAAAAATCACATAATTGATTTTTCAGTCAAATCCTTAATGATTAAACTATTACCTACCTACATGACCAATAAATACGACATTAACATGCTCTTTTTTGCTTCGCGATTCTTCTACTTTAGGAGGTTTTTTCTTAGATACTTTTGGCGTAGTTTCCCCTTCGCCATCTTCGATATCGTCAACGCCTTCATCTTCGGGCGTTATTATGGGCTCATCTTCAACGTCCCAACTGTCCACAGGATCATTTTCTTAAAAAAGAAAGAAAACAAGTTATTACCATATTGAGGTAGAGTTAGACCTATTCTAGTTAGGTATCAAAAATCCCTTCATCCACATGCATCAATCGTGCTTCCCACCCCACAGGTAACAACAGAGTATTTATTGCGCTGTCCAGTTTTCCGTGCACGCATAGAAACTCACTGGACTAAATGTGTATGAAAAAATCAATTCTTCTGAAGAACATCTAGGGGACACACTTGGTGCTTCACGATCCAAAATTTCCGATCACACGAACCCTAGTGTGAACAAAATAGCCGGGCGAATGTTGATATGCTCAACGATCTATTAACGAAGTACTATCTTCAAAATGTTGTGTACATTTGCAACTCAGCACTGAGTGTTTTGGACTATGTTATTCATTCTGTAGAAAGTAATTATTACTGTAGAAAGTTTAAATTATTGAAATGCCCTCCATTATCGATGAAGACGAGACTGAAAGTAACGCATACTAAAAAATGAAGAAAATAACTAATAGCAAACGTATTTTCAAAGAAATATTCGCACTTAGAATAGAGTACTAGGAGTAAGACTACTACTCTTTAAAGATTTGATTGTCGTATTTTCGACAAGAGATGCCCATTGGTTTTTTACATTGAATAATCATGTTCATAGTGAGCAGGGGGATTGGATACTAAAAGTGGCTTACATACATGGCAAGGAGTTATAAATATAATCAATAGTTTTATTTCTAAACTGCACGAACCACTTATTAGTCATAACATATGTTAAATCTGTAATTTTGAAAATTTCATATATACGCTTATCTATATAAGCACAAATATGTTGTTTGTTTGCATTGCATTTAATAGAAACAAACTTCAAAACATAAGCGAAATAACAAGGTTAAGCTTAAACGGCAAATGAACACGTTTACATAAACCATAAACCACTTCATTGAGATAGCCAGGTAAGCAATCTTCAATCTAAAGAAAACCATTCTCTTTTAAGAAACATTTTGTGATATACGAAAAGTAACGCCTTGACACGTTAGTCTAAATCAATTTGATCGAATACTTATTTCAGATTATTTGTGAATATAATACATTTTTCCTAAGGTTGATAATCTCAACCACTAACCAAGTCATTTTAATATTTAGCTAACGTGTCAAATTGACAGCACTAAGTGCAATAAAAGCCACTGAAAGCTGCATGAGCCAACAATACGAAATAGATTAGGCGATGAAGTGGAGAGAGAATATAAATATATAAAACAAAAACCGAAATGTAAGAAAGAATACAAAACAAAATAGCGCAATTTTACGAGTTTCAAGAGGGAGCGGAGGGAGCGTAGCATGAATTTAAGACCTTTTCTAAGAGCAATTACAAATATTTTTAAATTTTCTTTTGAACTAGATTTGAGGTTATGTACACGTTTCTATAAGAAATAAAAAAGGAATAGAAACACAAAACGCTTTTTAGATCCTTTTAATCATGACGTCACTTTATGTTACTATAATGTAACCGCCCACTTAACACTTTACACTTTTTATTTACCATTATTTGCTTCAATATTGTCGGCTGTATTAATGTTTTCCACAGGTGCTGCAGCAATCTTGAATGGTGAGGTTTCCATAGGTGAGTCAGCAGCTGTCTCTACTTCCTGCACAATAACAGGATTTGTAGAAGCGGACCCAGAGCCTTCTGAATTAGGTGTGGTAGCAGGAGTGCCACTACCTGAAGCTGGCTCACTATCCATAACAACATCACTTGTCGTAACCGGTACTGCCGGTTCGCTGTTAATATTCAATGATACACTCGCCGCCGCCGCACTACTAAAACCGAAACTTGGCACAAATTCAGCGGCATTGACGTTTAGCGTAGAAAATTTGGTGGCCATCTCGGTATTTTCTTGAGCCATTTTTCTGCTTTTTCTCTGTTAGCACTTCCTCTAACAATACGAAGCACCGGTCGCTTTATATCTATGATATATAGCTCAGATTACTTATATTTGTTTAAAGTCTGCCAAAAAAAAAAAATAATTATTTAGTCTTTAGGTTATTCCTGCAGTGGTCAACACAGACGGACACGTTTTTTTCGATTTTTTTTTTTCTTTTTGTAAATTCACTCAACGTCAGATTTATCTTCGCCCTTCAACGCACACACTTTTACGTTCCTTCTTTTAATCTTCTTTCTCACTGTTTTACACTCTTTCGGAATCACGTTTTTCACTTTCTCAACATACGACAAAGGAATTTTAACACCGTACGTTTTTCTCTTCTCTTACTGCTCTATTTTCTTTTTTTCTATGACAAATTTGTCGCAACTCCTTCGGAAATTGTCTTAAGTATCTTAATTGATAAAACTGTCTGTTGTTTTCTTTTTGGCTAAATTATTAAACACTTATTTCTTTATTTGTTTATGTTAATATTATTTCTTAACATAATTTCTTTTCATATAACTTAGCCAACAGCGCGACTATTCTTCTCTTATTCACTTAAAATGGCCACGTTGCGGTGTTACCAGACGGTAAAGATCCATTACTACGTGTAGTCTTAATAGCATAAATAGTGGAAAGTGTTAATTGGCTTAATAGATGGAACGAATTAATTTCATAGCTATTTGTTTTCGTTTTTTATAATTTTTCAAATACTTTGAAAAATTTATAAACATTAAATACGATTATGTAACGGATTTCTGTCCGTTATATGTCCGTATTTTTTCCTTATATTTTAGTAGACATTTCCTACAAAGGTTAACAGCTCTGCTTACCCTGGGCACTGTCAAGAGCAGAGAAGCTGTAAACTAAGCACCTTCTCTTTTTGAAGATGATATTTTCACCTTTGATCAAGTAGAAAAATTCAAAACGCTAAAATCTTCATGCAGAGAAATAATAAAACTTGAAAAAACTTAAGGCGCAATCATTTTGGCCCGAAATTATCAACATGAAGAAATTCAAAAAAATGGGTCTGCTGCACGTTTATGTTAGTACTTTTAAATGCAAAATCTCGAAGGTTAAATATTTTGCGGCAAAGAAATTTTTAAAAGCAGCTTAAAATAGTGAAAAAATTCTTTGCACTAAGTTAACATAGCTACAAAATTTAAAAAATCAGAACCGCTTGATTGTTTGAGAGCCGTATCACTCAATTATAATCTTGTCGAGTCAAGCCAAACTCAATGCGGGGAAGAGGCAATGCTATGCGAGAGAGTCACTCAACAAAGATCGACGGGATGCATATTAAACAATAAAAGCTAGTAAAATTCATCCGGACGGGACAGATACAGTTAATCGAAAATTACCTTGGCTTGCTGAAGAAGAAACTACCGATTGGAAATTAATACTTTAGGAAAAATAGAGAAGACAAAATTTTAACCAGAGAAATGGAAAAAGGAAACGAAGACCAACAAATTTTTAGCGTGCGCAAATGAATCATGTGAAGATCATCTTCAAATTAAACTGCCTAGATTTGAAGGCCGTCGCAGCAATAAGATTTGACAAAGTGACTGATGAGGAATCAGAGAACAAATCGACACAATATAAGTAAAGATCCAGATCACAAGTTCAAGCTGATTGCTCTCAAGAAATTCAGAAAATATATTCGAATCAAAATGTAAGAAGGAGGATCTATTGAGGATATATATTGATAGAATGCTTAAAGTCTTTATTTTGACTCACACATCTTTGCGTGAATGTATATTCAAATTGAATTTTATATAAAATAGAAAAAAAAACGAAAATAACCTTTCAGTTCAGCTTTTATTTAATTTTATTTTCCCCTACAGTTGAGTCATGTTTATACGGCTACTTGCTGTATGATTTTTAAAGATTTAAAATTAAATTTCTACAGTAAAACGACGTGCAAAAATATAAGAAATACAGCATGACTAGGAGGTTTTGCTTATATACCCGTGAAAAGCATTACCTCACCGACCTCGATTCGGAATCGATTGGATAATATTTTTGATGATAATATGCAAATAGTACAAAATATCTCCTATTCGTGCTTCATCTATGAGCTATGCGCAAGGCCAGTTGCCGGGAGCCGAAGGAACTCCCAGCCATGCCGCAGCAATATGATCAGGTCATGGCGAGAGATCGCTATAGAAACAATTCATGTAAATTATTGTAGGCTTTTCAAAGACATTATACAACATATCACGGTTCAACAGCCACTTCTTTTTACGTACCCGTCATAAAAAACAAATTATGTGTGATAAGGATGGAATTATTTACTAGTGTTTGAAAAATTATGCATTCATTTAAGATTTTATCTTCCCAGGCGTACAATCACTTGTAACAATGACTTTTTTAGATTGACATTTGAATCAGGAACGGGCAATGGTAGAGATGTTATCTATAATCGGTAAGTTTTTCTTGGCACAGCAGCGCGTACCTACGTAAGATCACTTATTTTTGGCGATCATTGTAAAACTTCTTTTAATGAAAGAAAGCATGAGTTTGACTTGATCATTGTAAGAGTTAAATTCTTGAACATATCGAGCAAAAATAAGCGATTAAAAATAATAAGAGTAAAGAAATTGGCATAAAAGTAATGCATAGGCTTCGAAGGGCGCTTTTTTTTTTTTTTTGAGTTTTACTAAAATTTTACATAATATAACATATCAAAAATATTACTTGCTCGTAAGAATATTCTTAATTTTTATCATAGTTCTTGCAAGTTGTGTTAAAGTTTTACTAAGAAATGGTAACTCTCTGCGATAGAAAATTAAGGTAAGAGTTTTCAAACCTAGCAACTCCCCCTCTAAGCACGATATTCATCTTTGTGCTTATGATACGGTACCACTTTTATCGCAATACGTGCCATTTTCCTTTAATAATTCTTGCTGGGAGGACGTGCGCGTTGTAACATTTCAGGCATTCCGCCATATTTGAGAAAAAATTGTAATAAAAAATTTCTTGGAAATAAAAAGTGAAATTTTTTAAAATAATTTTTTTTCAAAACTTTCATTTAATAATATATAGAAATGAGTCACAATAGTGGTGGACGACCTCCTCCAAGAATTGACGGCATGATTTCTTTAAAAGTAAGTTGATAGGAATGAAAAGTTTTTACAATTATTTAATGCTTGTGTATGTATATGGAGAAAGCTTGAAAAACAATATGGCGTCTGAGAGGAAGATTTTTTTTTCGGTAATAGCAAAATTTTAATAATTTATTCTTTTTTTTAGGTTGATAATTTGACTTACCGCACTACACCGGAAGATTTGCGACGTGTTTTTGAACGTTGCGGTGAGGTTGGCGATATATACATACCACGCGATCGTTATACCCGTGAAAGTCGGGGCTTCGCATTTGTAAGGTAAGTTCATGTACTAATGCAAATATATCTGCTTTTGTATCTGTGTATGTAAAGTTTCTCCTTTATAACTATGAACTTTTGATACGCTAAATCATTGAATGTGTTTTGAGAATAGGAAAATTTTTATTTTTTCCCCTTACTACGTTTTGATAAGTCAGTGTTAAAGAAATTTGTTTACTAACGCAGGTTCCTTTTTTTTCTCAAACACATTTTCCGCGCAATTCGGGTGAGCTTACATTGCAGTGTGAGTGTTTTGTCATTGACTTCTTTTTTATTAGCTTTTCGTTTGGTCTGACTGGCGATATTTTTAAGCCGTTTTCTTTTTGTAATGTGAAAACTGATAATTTTTTCGGAATTGTTGTACTTCGGTCTCTAGTGAGTGCCATCTCGATGAGTGGAATAAAAAAAAGAAGATTATCTGAATTCTTAACGTACTACCTACTATACTATTAAATTACGATTGTCAAAATTATGAATGTTTATTCGCTTATGACGATTTTTAGTTAAAGGAATAACTATCTGTAACTAAGCATCGAGAAGAGTTTACGTTTTCGTTCTTTTTATATTAAATTATTTCGATTTGGTTTACTCCACGAAAATCTATTCAGTTTCCTTTTCTTTTAAATCAAACAATTAATTTAATTACTTCAAAAATTAATTCCTAAATCTAATCAATAAATCGTAATATTTTGCTGACGTGTTCATAAGGTAGCACATGTTCTTTTTTGAAACTTACAAATATACCTATGTAATCGTAAATGTATGAAGAACAGTGACAAAGCATTTCTGCAAAGACTGCCGCCAGCCAGCAGCATAAATGTTTATAAAGCAGAGCAAAAAGCTATTTTTATATTTAGAGCAGCGAAATGAAGTTATATCAACGGAATATTGTTTATACAAAGTAGAGGCACACATTGAAACTTCCATAATAGACAGTAGCAAATTTTTGCCTCGAAATTGTGCCTGTAGGAGCTATTTGCATAAACCCTTTGTAAATGGTGTTTTTTGAGGGACAAGCCTTTAAAAAAGTGAATAGTCCGATTTATGAAGTGGATTGAGAATATGGTTGAGAAAATTTTCCAGATCAAAAATCGAACCACATGAGCTGCACAGGTGGAACCGAATGTAAAACACTACAGAGACGCAGTCACTACTAAACATCGCACACCATTTCACTTAATTGCAGTTATTTATTTAAGGACTTTTCAATAGGAGAACTAATATTGGAAGAGGTCAGATTCGAACCATTTTTGGTAGCGTCCGCCCTTCGGCCAAAACTTGCGACCCGTAGGTTAAATATAAAAATACATGGCCAGACGAGTGATGGATATAATCTTTCTGGATGTTACAACCGTTTGCACAAACTTAATATCATCTTGTCATAAATGATGATATGAAGAGCCTGAAGTAATAGATGTTTAAAGTTCATTAAATCTGAACAAAATTTTGTCACATGATTTTATATTATTAATTGTTAATATCTATTTCTGCATTTATGACTAACATTTTTCCTATACACTCTAGTAAGGATGTTATAGTCCATGAAAAAAAAAATGCCAAATAGATGTGATTTTTAATTTGCAACAATTGCCTACGAAACTGTCCTAGGCAATGTACTACAAAAATCTACAATTTTTCGAAACTATGGCGATTCTAACAAAATCCTCAACAAAGCAGTTAGTTTTAAACATGTAGAACACTGTACCCAAAAAAGTAGTTAATATTAAAACATGTAAAACACTGTACTGGGATGCAGCCACCATTAAATACCCTGTACCATTTCGTTTTACAGTTATTTATATAACGACTTTTTAATAGAAGGCTTTATATTGAAAATGGCATTTTCGAACCATCTCCAATAACATTCGTCCTTGGGCCAAAA